AGAGACCTGCCCAACTCAGCACCTGCACGCTTTGTTCGTGGTCCCCTACCGTCCCCCCCTGTTCCCCCTGTCGAGTCCCTTTTCTCGTCCCAGTGGACTCGTCGTTCTCCCCTCAGTCGTGCTGTGTCTCCAGAGCCTCGCCGGTCCCGTTACGGTGCCGACGGCCCGTTTCACCTTGTTCTTCGCTCTCGTGTTCCACCTCCTCCTGTCCTTCCACAGCCTCCTGAGTCGTCCCTCACTGTGTTTCACGACCCGTTGTCCGACTACCTTCGTGCCTCTTGTCCTGTCGTCTCCCGACTGCACCTCTGTCGTCTGTCTCGGCACTTGTTACCACTGTCGCTGGCTTTGCCTCTTCCCACCGCCTTGACTACGCCGCTCACTTGGTGAGTGGACCTGGTCGTTCTCCGGTCTCTGGGGGTGCTCCTGTTTTTCCCCTTGAGGTCCTCGAGGACAGGCAGTTCGAGCTTGGTTTCCTTGCGGCCGCTGTTCCTCATCTCTGCGCCATGCTGCTTGCCCCTGAGGGGGATCCAAACGCCCTTGACATCCCAATCCCTCGCAATCACGCTGAGGTGGTCTCGGGACCCTGGGCTTCGTACTGGATAGTAGCTGAGGAGGCCGAGATGGCATCTTCTAGGTCCACAGGCACCTACGTCGCCACCGTCTCACCACCTGGGGCGAACGTTGTCAGTGGCATGTGGCTCTAGAAGGTGAAGCGGCCGCCTAGAGCACCGCCCGTGTTCAAGGCGTGATACGTGGCTAGAGGCTTTAGTCAGCGAGAGGGGGTAGACTTCTTTCAGAACTTTGCTCCCACCCCGAAGATGACCACTCTTCAGGTGTTGCTGCATATTGCAGCACAACGTGACTACGAGTTGCACTCTTTAGACTTCTCCACTCCGTTCCTTCAGGGGAGCCTGCACGAGCAGATCTGGCTGCGTCGTCCGCCTGGCTTCACTGGCTCTTTCCCTCTTGGGACCCAGTGGCAGCTGCGGCGACCGGTCTACGGCCTGCGCCAGGCTCCCCGCGAGTGGCACGACACGCTACGTACGACTCTTGCAGCGCTTGACTTCTTTCTGTCCTCTGCCGACCCGTCGTTGTTCGTCTGCAGTGGCTCGACCCCGTTCTTTGTTTTGGTCTACGTTGACGACCTGGTCTTCACCACTCCCAACTAACGCGCACTGGCCTCCGTGAAGGAGGAACTGTAGAGGACACACACTTGCACTGACCTTGGAGAACTGCAGCGCTACCTTGGCCTGTAGATCACCAGGGACAGGGCAGCTCGCACCATTATGCTGACGCAGTCGCATGTGGTCGAGCAGATCCTCACGCGGTTTCGCTTCCCGTTCTCCAAGGCACAGCCCACCCCTCTTGCTGTGGATCATGGGCTCACGGCTCCACCTTCGGACGAGCCATTTGAGTCCAGCGGTCCGTATCCTGAGGTGGTGGGTTGTCTCGTGTACCTGATGACTTGTACTCGCCCAGACCTAGCTTACCCTCTTAGCGTCCTTGCGCGCTTTGTTGCGCATGGGAGACACCGACCTTCCCACTGGTAAGCTACTAAGAGGGTGGCGAAGTATGTGGCATCAGGCATGGGACTTGTCCTTGGAGGGAAGCAGCCAGTTACACTTACAGGTTACTCGGACTCATCTTGGGCCGACGACGCAGAGTCGCTACGGTCTACACAGGGTTACTTCTTCAGTCTTGGGACCGGAGCTGTTTCGTGAAGGTCGACTCGGGCGTCGTCCGTCTCTAGTTCCAGCTGTGAGGAAGAGGTGTACGCTGCGGCCATGGCCGCCCAGAAGCTTCGCTGGCTGTCTTTCCTCCTCACCGACCTTGGTGAGCGGCCTCGCTCTCCCCCAGTCTTGTTCGCCGACAACAGGTCCGCTGTCCTGTTGTGCGAGGAGCCCCGAATGGTTGGGAAGGCGAAGCACATCCAGCTTCGTTACTTCCTTCTGTGCGAGTTTCAACTGCGTGGCCAGGCCCGCGTGGTACGTGTGGTCTCTGAGGCCAACACTGCAGATATCTTCACCAAGGCGTTGCCGCCTTGTGCCCACCAGCGCTTCTGCACCCAGCTAGGCCTTGTGTCTACAGGCCTTCACTTGCTTGTGTAGAGATAAATTGTCTTGTACTCTTCCATCTCACTATATATCCTATATCTGTGCTTGTTGACAGGCCTTGTGGCCCTTTCCTTGTTCTCAGACTGTGTGGTGATCTTGAGATCCACCCCGAGAGTTGTTTTGTTCTTGTGAACTGGTCTTGTGACCGTTGCTTGTTCTTGCTGACTGGTCCTGTGACCTTTGCTCTTGGGTTGTGTGTCGCTCTCCACAGGACTACTGTCACCTAGACTATGGGGGTGTGTCAAACTAAATTGCTTTAGTTATGTTAGTTCTAGTCTAGGTGTATTCCGTTGTGCTAGGGTTAGGGTTAGCCTTGCATATATCTTTCCTGTTTTATTCATTGTTATTCATTCTCATATTCAAACACCCGGTCGAGCTTGCTTTGCAGAAAGAGGTTCTTTATGTCAGGCTGCATCAGGTGGAAGTCGATGACGGCGACGATGCTAAGGAAGAGTCTCAGTGTGATGTAGCTGTTCACCGGCGTGTATGTCTCATTGTAGTTGGCGCCATACACCTGCTTGAAGCCTTTTATGACCAGCCTTGCCTTCTCCTGGGCAACTGTGTCATTGATGTGGTACTTGATCATCAGGACCCACCAGTTCTTCGTGATGTTCACCCTACGCGGGCGCTCGTCTAGCTCCCGGGTGCCCATGCCGATGAGGTTGTGGATCTCCTTGTCCATGGCGGCCTTCACCGCCTTGCACTTCCAGCTCGCAAACGCCTCCTTCACCGTCATCGCTGCGTTGTCCTAGCGGTGCTCAGGGTCGGCATGCATGTCGAGGCCGAGCTCTGGCAGGTCGACGCCATCCTTGGCGTTGTCGTATAGCAGGTCATCATCGGCGTTGTCATACAGCGTGGTATAGGCGGCCAGCGGCAGACACACGTGGTAGGGTAAGAACTCAGGCGGCCTCCTAAGTCGTCCTAAATGACGTGGTCCAGGCTTCTCGGCGTTGACCTCCACTACATCGCTGTCGGTGGTCTCCTCGCCCACCGACTGCTTCACTGCATCGGCGCTGGCTTCACTGCCTTCACCGGCCTGCTGCACCAAAGTCGACGTCCCTGCCGAATTCTCCCTTTATCGGCTCCCTTGCCGACTGCCTAGTCGCTGACGGCTCCTTAGTCGGCGTCCCTACTGGCTGCTCCCCTTTCGGCGGCTTTGTCAAAATAGATTTATATCTATTTAGTATAATCTGCTTGTAGTGTAGCTATTGTGTAATGCCCTTGAATGGTGGTGCACCTCTTTCACCTTTGTTAGGTTGCTATATGTACTCGTGTGCTCTAGTGAACCTCCAACCATTTCTCAATCCTCCTTGGCACAACTCTCTCGACACTCACTTGGCCTAGGCTTCTAAGCCTAGGCCCTAACCCGGTTCCTAACATAAGATCGTATCGTAACATGGTATAGAGCCTAAAGTTCCTAGTGCCTACAGTTTTTTATTTCCAATGGGCCCACCAATAGCCTTAGCCATGACCAGCGTGCTGCTGCCTCGTCGCGCATGCCAGCGCTCTAGCGAGCCCACTGGCAAGATCGCCAACGGATTCGCCATCGAGAGCGCCAACGACCCACGAGCGAATCAGCCAGCAGACCCCCAGATGGCCTCGCCAACAAGTGAGCCAGCGGACCTACGAGTCCGCCAGAAAACGCGCCAGCGAAAACGCCAGCAAAATTGCAAGCGAAATCGCCAGCGGCCCGCCAACGAAATCACCACGCACCTGCGACTCCGTCCGTCTCCCCGTTTTTTGTCGCCCCAGCCGCTCCTTCACCCGCCGTCGCTCTGCCCGTCGCATCCCCTCCCCCCATCACAACTGTTTGCGTATGCACCGGCGGTCGCCGTGGGGAGGAGAGGGAGGAGGGGAAGGGAGTGGCGGCGGAACGCTGTGTGGGGGAGAGGAAAGGGGGGAAGGGAGTGGCGGCGGCACATCACGACAACCGCCAGCGCACCGTCGATCGTACCAGCGCTCGCGCGCCCTTTGCTGCTGCAACCCGTCCCCTGCACACCGTCAGATCCCACCCAGCCTGTAGCCCGCTGCCGCTCCTTAGCCCGTCACATTACCCGCGCCCCATGCCCGTCCCCCCCCCCCCCCCCCCCCCCCCCCCCCCCCCCGTCGCGGCTGTTCTCGTGTGCAGCGGCGGTCGCTGTGTGGGGGAGAGGGAAACGGGGAAGGGAGTGGCGGCGGATCGCTGTGGGGGGGAAGAGGGCAAAGGGGAAGGGAGTGGCGGCGGAACGCCAGCGACGACCGCCAGCGCACCGGCAATCACGCGTCATCTGCTGCTGCAACCCGTCGCCCGCGCGCTGCCCGTTCCTGCAGCCTATCGCTCGCGCTGCCGCCCGCCCGTCCCCTTCTCCCCCCCCCCCCGCCGCCCCCACCCACGCTCCCGCCAGCTCCAGCCGTGCTTGCGACTGCTACCGTGCTAGCTCGAGGTGGTGGGGGTGGCGGCCAGTGGGGAGGCAGCGGGTGTGGAGGCGGAGGTGGTGGGCTGTTGGGGGGAGGGTAAGGGGGTGCCAAGAAGGATTCTGCAGCCTCAACCGCCTCCTCCTCCTCTCCCTCTCAGTCTCGCATCTGCTACTGTGAGGGGAGGATGAAGGTGTGTGGGAGTGGAACCGAACCCCCATCTGCTTCCACCACACCTCCTCCTTGTTTTCGGTGCCACCACTACTGCTGTGGGAGGGAGGTTCAGGGGGTGTGGGTGGTGAGAGTTCAATTGCAGCATCATCCGCCTCCTCCTCCCATCCCCTGCCGCCTGTGCCTTGCTGTCCACCTGTGCTTCCGCCCGTGTTCCCCGTACTTGCCCCACCCGTTTCACCCGTGCTGTCCGTACCCGGTTGTGCCCCACACGTTTCACCCGTGTTGTCCGTACCCGGTTGTGCCCCACCCGTTTCACCCATGCGTCCCATGCTTCCCGTGCTGCCCTCGTGCTCCTGTGCTGCCCCCGTGCTCCCTTGCTGCCCCCGTGCTCCTGTGCTGCCCCCGTCCTCCCGTGCTGTCCCCGTGTTCCCGTACTGCCCCCGTGTTCCCGTGCTGCCCCCATGTTCCCGTGCTGCCCCCGTGTTCCCGTGCTGCCCCCGTGTTCCCATGCTGCCCCCGTGCTGCCCCGTTCTGCCTGTGTCGTGCCCGTTTCCGTGCCGTGTTGCCCCGTTCAGCCCTTGTCCTTCCCGTTCTGCCTGTGCTGCCCCGTTGTCCCCGTGTTGCCCCGTTCTGCCTGTGTTGCCCCGTTCAGCCCGTGTCCTGCCCCGCTCTGCCCGTGTTGCCCCGTTCTGCCCGTGTTGCCCCGTTCAGCCCGTGTCCTGCCCCGTTCAGCCCGTGTCCTGCCCCGCTCTGCTTGTGTTGCCCCGTTCAGCCTGTGTCCTGCCCCGTTCAGCCCGTGTCCTGCCCCGCTCTGCCCGTTTGCCTCGTTCAGCCCGTGTCCTGCCCCGTTCTTCCCGTGCTGCGCCATTCTGCCCGTTTGTGCCCTACCCGTGCTGTCCGTACCCGTTCGTGCCCCACCCGTGCTGTCTGTTCTCGCTCGTGCCCCACCCGGTCTGTGCTGCCCGGTCTCTGCTGCCCGTCACCCCCGTGCGGCCCGTCCCGTACAGCACCTAGTTGCTACCCGAACCCGCTACCCGTACCCGTGCTCCTCGCACACCGTGCACCTGCTGCGGGACGTTCAACCGCAGCCGGGCACCTGTTCCACCGCGGTGGTTCAGATGCTGCTTGGTGGTTGCTGCTTGTCAGCTTCAGAGGGGGCCCCTTGCTGGTGTTCCCACGCCCTGTAATGAGGTTTTACAGGTGTACCCCTTCAAAGGGGGCTCTGCACATGGCTATGCACTTCAGGCAGATAAGGGGTGTGTCAAAATATATTTATATATATTTAGTATAATCTCCCTGTAGTGTAGCAATTGTGTAATGCCCTTGAATGGTGGTGCACCTCTTTCACCTTTGTTAGGTTGCTATATGTACTCGTGTGCTATAGTGAACCTCCAACCATTTCTCAATCCTCCTTGGCACAACTCTCTCGATACTCGCTTGGCCTAGGCTTCTAAGCCTAGGCCCTAACCCGGTTCCTAAGTTAAGATCGTATTGTAACAGGCTTCTCTGCCGCAACCTTCTTCACCGACTTCAACAAAATCAACTGCACCTCCTCTGCTTGCTGCTCCCATGTCGGAGTGGACTTCTTTCCCACGCTGACTTGCTTGACGTCACGTCGGCCACCGGTGATGCACTTGGCTGGCGCCACCAGCGATGCTCCACTACTCCCCTCATCGCCGCCGACCGACATCGATGTCGGCTCATGTAGGTCAGCCAAAAGGGGTGGGGCAGGACGAGAAAGGGAAGGGGAAGGAGGGCGGACGCCCTCGACGTCCTCATCAACAAGCTCACCCACCACGGCGAGCAAAGAGAGGGTCGCGGTTGAGGTGTCTGTCGACGGGTTGGCCTGCGTTCGCCCCAACGCCGGCCCGTGCTCTGACTTCCACACCTTCAGCGACATCGTCTAGTAGAACACCACGTTCAACGTGGTGACCACCTTGTTTTCGGCGAGGTCGATGAGCTCCCAGCCTTTGCTCTCCTCCGACACACCGAGGTGAAGGCCCCACCTGGCCTTCGGCTTCAGCTTTCCACCGCACTGCCGCTGTGAGAGTACGACGGCTTATACCAGCTATGCTTGCTTGCCTTTACTTTATGATGCTATTTCTAGCATAGGATAATTATATGCATGCATGAATTGCTTGATTTCCTAGGCTAGGTGTTTTCCTATATTTTATTATAGTTATAGCACCGAGCTAGGTTGCGTGCACCGAATTCTGGCTTTTCGGTTGCCACCGAATTGCCTTCTACCGAATTAGGAAAGGATCTGTTTGGGACGCTTCGCGACTCGCGGAACCTTCGCGTAACGCCTGGTTACGGGGCCTTGTGTCGAGCCTATATATAGCATCGTGTTGTACCCAGATGATCATTCAGTTCAATTCAATTCACATTCTCTTTTCTGAGCTCGATCATAGATCCTCACACTTGGTAATCAGAGCCTGGTTAGACGTGAAATTTTTCGACCGCTAAAACCTAGCTTTTAAAACCGCGGGGGCGAAGACGGAAAGCGCCGATTTTGGGTACGTAAACCAGTGCGGTCGGTGCAGAGTCTTGTTTCGCGGAGACTCCATTTGTCTCGGCGATTTACCCAGTTGTAGGCCGGTCGTGGCGTTTTTAAATTCGCGCCATCGTGTCCTCCTTTTTTCGCCATCGTGGATGTCGCACTGTTGTTGCCCTGCAGCTCCGCTCGAGCCTTCTTCATTTTCCAACACGCCAAGAATCGGTGTCCTGCTGCGCCGCAAAATTCGCACTTCTCATATTTTGTTGGCCGCTGCTTCGCGTCGATCTTGTCCATATCCATCGGGTCAGCGGTCGTGGGTGGTGCCGATCGCTTCATGTCGAATGATCTGTTCGGCACGTGGCGTCGTGTCTCGGGCTCACATCGCATTAGCGCATCGAATCTCTCTGCTGCACACACCATGTCGCGGTAGTTGTTGTAGTTTGCGGCAATCACCTGTTGGCGGACTTCCATCTTTAGCCCCTTAGTATACACTTGGATTTTTTCCCCTTCGGTCAGGTCAGTAATTCGGTTGAAGAGGCTCTCCATCTACTGCGTGTACTGTGTTACACTGCCGAACTGTTTATGCCGATGAATCTGCTGCCGCGCCATGTAGCTGGAGTTGATTGGTTCGAAACGTTGAATTAAAGCTTCCCGAAACCGCGTCCATGACCCCTCGCCTCGGATCTTATTGCTGTTGTAAATCCACTCGAGCGCTGGCCTCGTAACAGTGTCGCTGCGAGCCGAATCCGCATTGCATCGTGTGTCGGGGTCGTACAGCCAACGGCCTCGAAGTAAATTTCGAGAGCCGCAATGAATCGACGAACGTCAGTGTCTCTCGCATTCGGATTGAACGTCTTCGGTAGCCTCGGACGTGCTGCCTCAAGATTCACTGTAGCCGCTGCCGCTGCTGCTGGGTGAAGTGTCGGTGTCGCCGCTGCTGCTGCTGACGTCGCTGCTGCATTTGCTGCTGCGTTCGCTGCTGCTATGGCGGCTGCCAAATGGTTCGCGAGAAGCTCCTCTATTCGCTGGAGTGCCGCTCGCGTCTGGTCTAGGCCGGTGTGTAACTCCGTAATTTTCTGTACGGAATTATCACCGTTTTCCTCCATTTGGCGATTTATAAGAAGATTTGCGACGAAAATATATGAATTCTAGGCGCTGGTTATCTTACTGTGAGTCGAGTTGACTGCAGAAATGACAAGGGCTGATTCTGTAGGTCGCGTTATTCTCCCTTAGTCGAAATTCGCGTCTGATCTCGGCCGTTGAGAAGAAATTCGATCCGACGCTCCAAATTCCAACTTTTTCGCCACTGGACCCGAGGAGTGTTCGAAAACCGGTTCGAGGGGGACGTTAGAAAATAGCGCGGGGAAACTCCAGCCGAACACCCCAGAGAGTAAGAATATTCCCTCTCGAGGTTTTCAAGCCTTTAAAAAATCCAGGGGAGATTTCAAGGCCAAGAAAGAGCCTTGAAGCTGGGCAAACCACTGCGGAACGTTAAAAAGGGTCGTGCGGTCCAAGGAGTTCATATTCTCTCCCCGCAGCATAGTGTTAAGGCTCCCCATTGCCCACAGGAGAAGCCTACACAGCTGCAAAGGCTTAAGGGAAGGTTCCAGGCCAAGACGAAGCTGAATCGGCCTCGGATAAATCCTTCTAACCCTGCTCAGTTGGAAACTGATATGGAGTCAGCAGCTTCGCGCGCAGGACCGAGGGATGATCTATTCGATGTACCCTACAATCCTATAAGCGAGACCATCTACGGTTACTCGGAACAGCAAAAACCACTACTACTCGAGGTGATCTGCAATGGGCGACGCCTCCAGGCAATGGTGGACAGTGGTGCGTCCCACTCGGTGTGCGACCGCGGGACGTTGGAGATGGAGAATTTTTGGAGGAGACCAAGTTCTCGGCAACAATGGTGGACGGTACGAAACTTCCCATCCACGGCGAAGCATCACTGCAGCTACACATAGGGGTGCTGAGGTGGAAGCCGACGTTGCCGATCACAAACATCTGTTGAGTTACTAAGTAAGAGTAAGCTTAGGTTTTAGGTAGGGCCTAGGCTTAGTAGCCTAGGCCTAGGGGAAGTCGAGGAGGTTGTGCCAAGGTGAGAGAGTCGAGAATGGGAAAAGGTGGTGTTCACTATAGCACTAGGGTACATATAGTAAACAGAGCATGCAAAGAAGGTGCACCACCAACAGTTTATAATAACTACACTAAACTACAGCTACAGACAGTTACATATAAATTCTAACACTCCCCCATAACTGCCTGCAGCAGGTTTTTTTTGCAGAACACAACCTTCAGGGGTACACCAGCAACAGCAACAGCAGGTACGTTAACAGAGCAGGTACAGCAGCAAAGGGACAGGCGACAGCAAGAAATTCCTGCCACCCCCTTACTCTCTTCCCCCCCAACCATAGGAGGGGCAGCAGGGAGAGTGAGGAGGTGGGCTGGCTCTGGCTGGTCACCCCCTCCATCTCCTCACCCTCCCCCTCCCCCTCCCCCTCCAACCCACACTGCTGCAGGAGCAGCAGAGGGGGGAAGAGAGGAGAGGGGGAGGGACGGCTGCTGGTTGGTCTCACACCCGCCAACCCAGTGCCACTCCCCCGGCTCTCCCACACCCTCACACCCTCCCCCGCAGCGGCAGCTGCAGCAGTGGGAACGAAAGGAGGAGGAGGGGAAGGGAAGCACACCACCCATCACCCCAACACCCGCCACCCCCATACCCTCCCCCCCACGGCTGCGGGGAGACGAAGGAGGAGGGGGTGGGCGGGGAGAAAGCCGCAGAGCAGCTACAGAGGGTCGGCGCGGGTAGGTCAGGGGCGGCTGCAGTGAGTGCAGGCGCGGGGTGAGGCAGAGGCGGCTGCACCGAGTGCAAGAGCGGGGGCGGCTGCTCCAAGGGCAGGCGCCGGGTGGTGCAGGGGCGGCTGTAGTAAGTGCAGGCGCGGGTGAGGCAGGGGCACCGCCGAGTGCGCCAGGGGCGGGTACGCGGCGTCTCAGGACACCGTCGCAGGCGCCAGGGGCGGTTCCGCGGCGGCTCAAGGCAACGTCGCGCACCAAGGGGCACATGACGGGCAGTTTAGGGCACCGTCGCATGCCACGGGGCGCACGATGGGCAGGGCACCGTCGCGTGCCACGGGGCGCATGACGGACAGGGCACCGTCGTGTGCCACGGGGCGCACGATGGGCAGGTTTAGGGCACCATCGTGTGCCACGGGGCGCACGACGGGCAGGGCACCGTCGCATGCCACAGGGTGCGCGACGGGCAAAAAAGATGTCACTCGCCACCCAGGGGCGGGACAGGACGAAAATCGCCCGAGGCGCGCGAACGGAAAAACAGCAGCGGAAGCGTGAGGCGGGCCCACAGGCCAGGATGTAACTCGCTCTAATGCCATGTTGAGTTACAAAGTAAGAGTAAGCTTAGGTTTTAGGTAGGGCCTAGGCTTGGTAGCCTAGGCCTAGGGGAAGTCAAGGAGGTTGTGCCAAGGTGAGAGAGTCGAGAATGGGAAAAGGTGGTGTT